TTTTGTAATCTAAAATAAATGATCTCTATGGTTACATTTATATTGGTAAATTAAACATGATGAGGACACAAATCCAAACACTGAGACATGATTAGTTAAATTCCGTGTGTTAAATTGTTAGCACAGACTGGTACGGCTTAAACACTTGCTATTTATCACTTTACCAAATCCATGGATTAGGTTAGCATAGGCCAATGGCCATAGTGAATAAGTATTTTTGGGACTGGCAATCATATAATAAAATATAGAACTAGTTCTTTTCCAACAAACATCCACTCTGTCAAAAGCGAGGAGTATCCTCTGATGCATTCTCCACTGGTGCTTCTCCCCACCAGCTGGCAGACAGGACAACCCAGTGATGTCCTGAACTGCAAGAGTCCAGACACTCACAAGAATTGCTAAGGTTTTCTCCACATATACCACTTTTTAATTGGCACAAAATGTTTCTGTTCAGAGTATTTGTTACTGCTACTTAAAAGAAGTAATTAAGGTAATTCAAGACTCCAGCTGTAGAGTGCTAGCTCACCCTTGCAAAAGGCCATTCATGGCTACCAGATTAGGCTTATACTATGATACCCAATATAAGGTATTCCATTTTGTATTCATCTGATCAAATGTTCCAGAAAATGCTCAGGAATACTTTTTGATCAGATGTATTACTGTTCACTGTAGACAATATAGTGGCGTTTAACAGTAGTATACCCTAAAGCAGTATGCTATAGCTTAAAAAACAGGCTCCAGTGCTATAGACATGACTCTCCTTGACAGTGATCTGAAACAGTCCCAAAACTAAATGTAAATTAACATAGTGGGAGTTTGTCAAAGTAATTTTATAGTTTGGCAGGCATCTCTTTTCCATTTCCTAATGAGTCCTTCATCAGTAGAGAAATAAGTTCTATGTTGTAGAAATAGGCTACTTGGAAAAATATTTCTAAGAGAAGAAAAACAATCTTAAACAGCACAGTTACTGTAATTCTTGATCCAATTCCATTAAAAAGATATTAATTTTTATTTCTGTTAGCTACTGAAACATTACCAATGGAAAGAAACATGAATCAAAGATTTATTTTCATAAGTGCATCTTTCAATACAGGAGATTGATGCAGATGAAATACAATTTTGCATGCTGAAAACATATTTTAGTGTGAACATTGAAATGACATTTTATCAAGAGAACTGACTATTATATTTGTGGTGCATAGGGTGATAATATGATTAGCTACCAGGGAAACAAAATAAATTTCCCTCTCAGACAATCAGTACCAAAACTATATTAATCTGCATATTACCATTCTCTATATTCATAGTTTTTCCACAGTAATAGACTATTTCTAAAAATAAACTTATTTTTCAAGGAACATAATTATTTTCAATTCTTCACAGTCTATTGTATTACCTACTATAAGAGAGAGATTTTCATCAGTCCTGATTTTCTGTTATTCATGTATCCATCCGTACCACTAACCTGAACTAAGATGTGGTCGCGGGTCAGTAGCAGCTTGAAGAGTTCCGAAGAAAAGCAAATTCATGGAATTTGAAGGGTGAAGCAGGAAAGCCAGTTTGTCGTGACATTGTTGTAAGCAGACCAGCCAGTTGTTTTGCTTACAGAGAAGCAAGCACTTTTCAACATCTCTCAAGTATCAAGAAATTATGATAAGCTCTTTACCATCTCCAAGTGTCAGTTGTGAAGCTGGTAGGTAGTAGGAACAATGAACTGGCCTCCTGTCCTACTATTCTCAGATCCCGTAGCCTTTTCTCTCATGTATTTACCCCACTGGGTTTTAAGTCTTTAAAATTGTGGCATCAAATTATATATAATGTCCATTTAATATAATGCAGGCTATCTAAATTTATGCCTGTACAGAGCATTTCCTCACATGCTATAAGAGTGAATGATCAGATATTCTAAAATAGTATAAAATAAGAACAGGAGGAGAAAAAGTCTAAACACCAAGAACAGCAAGACATGCCACTAGGGGGATAAGACAAAAGAAAATAATTCCTATTAGAGGTACAGTAAAAAAGAAATAAAACAAAACAAACACCACATGCTAAAAACCAAACCACCAAACTTGCCAAAACAAAGGAACAGAAAACAAATGAAAATGGGTGTTCTTGCTTCTTCCCTTTAACGGTGTACCATTGTGGTAGCATCCATTTAGTAGCTTGTAGTGGGTTACCCATGCAGCTGCTTGCTCACACCCCACACTCACCAAATCTCAGAATAAATCACTTGCTCTACCACTTGACCCACTTACCTAACCTCACACTGATTCTGATAGAAGGCTGTGGTAGCAGAAATGATTTCTTGCAGATCTATCTCCAGGTACATTGATACTTCTTTTCCTTCTGGTTCTTCCTTCAACCATACTGATTATTCCCTATTGTTCCAAAAAGTTTTGTTTAACGATCCCACTGAATTCTATGTACAGTGGAAAGAGTAGCATTATGCACTTCTCTTTTACTCCTCATCACTGTAGCACACTTGTGTTATACCGGCATTTCTGGAGTGCTTCTTGGTACTGAAAAACAATCTTTAAGGGAAGTAACTTACGATTTTGTGGTCAATAACTTTAATGAACCTTAGAATTTTTCATGTGGAAGTTCATCAATATACAACAGAACTGATTCTGGTGCTTTGTGAAATTCTATCTGTAATTATTTCAGAGGTTCAGCCTCTGGTAGTTTTAATCAACAGCAAGAAAGGGACTACAAGATCATTCAACTACACTTTATCTTGACCTAAAGAGATCATCTCCTAGCAATAAAAGCAAGTTTTTTTTCTTTCCCCATGCAACATGCTGATAAGACTTTAAGCCCATGTCATTTATGATTGCTACAGATGCTACTCTGGATTACATTTGTCAGTGAGTTGACAGGCAATGTCAGTAAACAGGCAATGGGGATAAATGTTTTAATCTATATGACTTGCACTGAAGGCTAGAGAAGTCCTATGCATTCAGGGGGTAGTAAATGGCTTTATCTGTACACAGTCCGTCTGATGAATGAAATAAACCAGTTAAAAACTAATGACTATTCAATAAATCAGTTTGAGTTAGATGAAGCACTTGAAAACTATGCTTCAAAAAATACATAGAATAGCTAAAAGAATAAGAGAAAAATATGTAAACTTTTAACGCCTGCATTTCTTTAAGTCAGTGAGAATCATGTATGTCCACTATCCTTTCAAATGAAAACCAATATAATTTTCTAATTATAAGATTTGGTTAGAATCCCTAGAAAATCCTTGAAGATACTATGTATTAGATCATCCATCACCAAATCAGCATACAGCGCTGCGGCAGAGGCAGTGGCTTATCAAGGCCATATGATAGAACTGTTAGAAGATGTATAGGAGAAGGACAGGTCAAAGATATTTCTGGTTCACAGTATTATAGGGAGCGGACAGTACAGGGAATATGGATACTTGGATACATCCCCACAAATGATGGTGATTTGGTATAGTGACTTTCAAAACCAACGGGTTCTCAACCCCTTCTTTCCTTTTGTGCGCATTAATATATTTGTCTGAGGACTGAAGTAGAAGAGATTCTCAATCTGATATAATAAGATATTCATCTTATACACCGGAGAATATGTTATAGTAAAAATATTCTGGAAACTCATCCAGCACATTCTGCCTTATCTCTGTTGTAAACTCTGACAGGTAATACACAGCAACTGATGTTTTCTCTTTTGAGGTTTGACTGCAAACATCTGAACAATTAAAATGCTACAGAAGGAATTATATATATGTAAAATAATTAGAAGCAGAAAATAGTTACCCACTTGTCAACGGTTTACGGGCTGGTTCAGCCCAGTTCCGTGACCAGCGGGGCGGAGGGATTTTGCAAAATCTGTGCCTCCGGAAAAAGGGAACAGGGGACCCCAAAATAATTAAAAACAGTGACAACGATCTGAGGAGAAACAAACTAATTTACTAAACATGGTATCAAAATGCAAGATAACACACCATAATACAATATAATCAGAATTGAAGCTAATAAATCAAATATAATGAGAGAGAGAGAATGTCCGAAAGGTGGATAGGCCTCACCATAACACTGAGGCGAGATGCACAGCCCAGTTGAGCAGCAGGGAGACAGGAGGAGAGTTGACAAAGAAGAGCGGATGAAGAAGACCCCATCAGATGACCTAGGCAGGAGTTCTATCTCCTCTCTGTGACCGCAAAGTCCCCTGGGGAATGTAGTTCTTCTCTTCCAGGAAGGTACACAGGACTTGAGCATTAACAGTTAAACTCCCAGTACCCACATGATGTTATGATGTGGAATACCGAAAACCAAAAAATCATAAAACCATGACATTACTGTATTTTTTTTCCCCTAAAATACTGATTTGTCACCTTTTGAAAGATGGATAGGGGAGTTTGAGAAGCTACCATTTTATAATGAGAAGCCCTTGCCATCTTAATTCTATAAAAACATTAACAAATTTTCCTTTTAACTATATAACAGTTTCTGGATTTCACAATCTAAAAAGTATCAGATATTCACCTAATACTTATAAGCCATAGTCTTTTATTGTACAATATCTCCCCAGAACTCAATGAAATGCTCTGGAACACTTCTTGAACAGTACCATGAAAATGAATAGATTCTAAAGAGTCAGCATATTGTGCTGACTAATTCCATTAAAAATCTCAAATTTTCTCAAAACTAAACAAAAGTTAAACATTAGGGATTTTAATAAAAAATAGGAAAATAAAGTAGGTATGTATTCTTCACATCATGATTTCATTTTGTCTCATTTTGTGTTCTGAATGTTTTGCTTAAGGAATGTGAAACTATAACATACAATGATGGAGACTTGATTTTGCAATAGAACATTTGTGCCACAATTAAATATTTCTTAATGTGACAAAACTCAAGTTCCTAATGACCACATACATGACAGAATCAAGACATTAACTCATCTGGATCAAGCAAGTATGGCATAGAATATACTGCACGCTACAAAGGAGTCAGACTAGAAGGACTTACCACTTCTTCATGGGTAGCATTTTCTACGTTAATACCATTAACCTAAAAACAAAGATACAACAGGAATGAAATGATTTTAAATATGTAAGCTAGCTAATGAAACAAACATAAAGGCAAGTCTGAAATAAATATGGCAAAAACAAATGTTTACTGACCTGTATTATTGCATCTCCTATAAATAACATTCCAGTTTGGTCAGCTGTGGGATTACAAAGTACAGTTTAACAGAAAGAAGTACTGAAAAGATGCATTTTATTCTCTTTCAGCACTTGGTTTAGCATGCTGTTTGTAGGCATCATTAGAAACTGATTTGCTCGTAGAAATAACGATATAGCAATCAATATTCATCCTATCAAGGTAGTAGATTTCTAGCAACCTTAAACCAACTAACAGAACTATTTCCCATGCAAAAAGAACTTGTTTAATATGGAATACAAACGTCATTTCTCACTAATGAAGGATTTTATTAAATTACGTGGAAACTGTGATTCACACTTTTCATTATTATTCTGCAAAGGGAAATAGAAATCTCTGAAACTGCTTAGCAATTCCTTTCCCCTGAACAAATTTACAGGGACAGGTATAATTAAAGAGGTTGTGTCTAGAATTTAATACAAATCTTTAACAAGAAGTTTGAGTTAGCTTTGTTCCTGAGAGTAAGATATTATTTCAGTCGGTTTCCTGCCTTACAAAATTAATGGGAATAATATAATGAAACTGCAAAGAAAACAATTCTACATAGATACAAACAATGGCATTTTTGAGGTGTATTCACCAGTGTTTTGTAGTCTTTTTCCTTTTTTTTTTTTTTTTTTTTAATTATTATTTTAGTGGAATTTGGGGATGTTTACCTCTTGAAATTTAAAACTTAATTGAAAATAAATCTCTCATCCTACAAAGACTAACAAGGTTAAATGAAGCATATGGAGAGTCTTGCATATGATTTTGTCATGTCCTGGCTTCAGACTTTGAAGAACCAAGGTAGAATTTTGAAAGATGAAAACAGAGAATCACAGAATCACAGAATTGTAGGGGTTGGAAGGGACCTCCAGAGATCATCGAGTCCAACCCCTGCCAAAGCAGGTTCCCTACAGCAGGTCGCACAGGTGGGCATCCAGGCAGGTCTTGAACATCTCCAGAGAAGGAGACTTCACCACCTCCCTGGGCAGCCTGTTCCAGTGCTCCGTCACCTCACTGTAAAGAAGTTCTTGCGCACATTTGTGCGGAACTTCCTATGCTGCAGTTTCCGGCCGTTTCCCCTTGTCCTGTCTCCACACACTGGTGAAGGTGTGTGAAGAGGTAAGAAAGAAAGAAAAGAAACAACAGCAAAACAACACAGAATATTCATACAATTTCTACAGTATAGCTTTTGGCACCAAAAATGTTATACCTTTGGTACAAAACAGCTTCTTTCTTTATATTTCCTATAGAATTTTCATCACTCTTTTAGCAAATAAAAGACACCTTTTATTAGGCACCCTGAGGAAAGAGCTTAGGAAAGATTTCACCACATATTATAAAAACTATGCTACAAGTTGTGTTGTTGTTGGTCCCTTACATTTTTGTTTTTTTTTTTTAATCGTTTTTTGTACTTAAAAATATGCATACAATTTGTAACTGCTGCTATTAAAAATGGTTATCTATGCGTACAAAGGCAACTGAACTAAAGTAGTTTGAAAACAAAAAAGCAATTCAGAGTAGACTGTGTGGGTACCTGTATTGCTAAAGGTGATAAATGCTACCTTAGGCATCTCAATACTAAATTTCTGTTCAGGATGTCAGTATTGATACACTAATACTGTGTCTGATTGAACTGATGTTCAAGCACTATATTAGGAGGTCAAAATTTGTGAGACCATTTCACTGCTCTTAATCAAGGCCTGCCTTTGCAGTCCTTTAAGGCATTGCTATGTGATGCCAGTATGCCTTAGGATGAGGTGTGTAGGGGCCCAGACAACAGGAAAAGAAGTTTTGTGTGTCAGATCAATGAAAAACTGAAAAGGTAAAATTACCAACACATACAAAGGTCTTGAGATCTAGTTCTAGAGAGCTAGTATATAGTTCAAGGATTGACATGGCATGGCATGATATGAAACAAAAAAGGTATAAAATCTCAAGGAATTAAAACAGTTTGCTGAAGGATTGTAACTCAGCATAGCTGAAAATAAGTCCCTTCCTGGGAGCAATGGAGACTGAACATTCTCCATCTAATTTCTGATGGTTTATACACTCATTGGCCATCCCACAGTGATGAGTACTGCAACAACCCTAGCTATCTACTGTAGACATTATACAAAAAATAGTATAGCTTAAGTGTACAAGGTAATTATATCCTGCTTGCAGACCCTCTATGCACAATTGAAGCTGCGTAGATAAAGCGAACGGGAGGAAGAGAGTTAAATGCTGGATACCAAATGCTATGTGAAGTGAAAAAAAGCATAGAAAATAGTGAAAATCAGAGCGTTTGTTTCAGAAGCGAATTATACTGTAAAGTAATGCAATAATGTATACACCTCCATGGCTGTCATTAGCATGGCCACTGATGGTATTCTGGCAAACTATACTTCTAAGTCTGTGATGAAAAATTTTGGCTTGATCTACAAATTAAAATCCATGATGATTTATAAGCATTTTTAACAAATCCAACTGTAGAGGACATGTCACAATGATGCATAAATCACAATATATTTTGCAAGTATATTAGAACTAATGTTACCAGAAAAAGTCCTTGTAAAGAGACAAAAAGAGTTTCATTCTCCCTCATTTTAAATCTGAAGACAAATAGTTATATCATCTCAAACTCTTCTGATGTTTTCATGAAGTTATACTTCTCTGCATGAAAACAAAACAAAACAAAAAAAAACATTGTACAAGTGCTATGTTCCACTTTATATGGAACTTTGCTTCCCACTGGTAGTGTTCTCATACAAAGGTGTCTACGAAAGGCTACTCAGCAATTATGAATCAATATATGTAATGATTCATAAAAAATAAAATATTTGAGAATGAGCTTTGAGATACTAACTAACATACAGCCTTGTTCAAAGAAACAGTAAACACAGATCATCTGGAATTCAGTATGCTTCTTAATGATTTATGTAAAACGATATTTTATTTGTAATGAGTTGAATATGGCCAAAAAGGATTTTCAAACGAAAACAAGCACAAAGTAGTAATTAGCAGAAGTGCACTGGGGTTTAAAAGAAAATTAAGAGTCTGCTATAACAATTAGCATTAAATCACCTTTACACCTTAATTACCTTTAAAAAAGGTTAAACACTGATTACATTTTGTACATTCGTGAAATTCATAGGGATACTGCAGTAGAAGGAAAACATTTATAACCCTTAAGGGGCTTCTAAAGAAAATACAAAATTTCTTATTCTTAACACGTTAGACTTGAAAATATATTCCCAACAAAAACTGATCCATCATTGTAGTCCTCTGACAATGTATTAGTGATGCACAAAAACCATGCTGTTTGAAGCTTACAATTAAGTTGACTACATGAATCTCCCAATTCATAAGCTTAAGAAGATTTATTTCACCACAAAAAGAGAATTAAAATGATAGCTAAGAAAGTTTATGAATTGGAAACAAAAAAATGCAGAAATTGGTATCTACATAGAATTTAAGGGAGTTCATAACATTATCCAGGTGTGTTGTTTTTTTTCCTTCTGTCTCATGAATTGGACTATAATGGTAGCACTGGTACAATTCAATTTATATTTTCTTGAAAATAAGCAGTTTTGTAACTGCATTTGTAATCAACATTTTAAAACAGAACTGCATTATTACCTTGTTAGGGACATTTTTTAAACATAAAATATGCTTTACAGGACTCAGATTTAGTTTATCCATTCAAATAAAAAAATCCAAATTTCTACCCTTATTTCTCTTGTTGACCACGAGGTTTCCTTAGCTCAGTCTCCTTACTCCTTACTGTCCAGTTTATCATGTGACAAAAAGCTGTATGTCAATAATGCAACGTTTCATAAAGCATCCACGTCATTATTCTAATGTGCCAGGTTCTCCATGCTAAATTCAGAGGTACGTGGGAAATTAGATTTCTCTGTCCAATTGTTTCAGTGGACAGCCTATACAGTAGGCAACCATTGATCATATTGTGATCCTAGAAGTACCATGTTTACCTGCAGACCCAGTCAGGAACTCACTTCTAAATCCTTAGTGTACACAAGCCAGAAGAACTGAAGCTCAACACATTGTAAGAGTCAAGTCAGTGTGAGATGTGTGTAGGATGACAGAGATAAGGCAGGTACTGGAGTAGGCAGAGACTGAATACAGCAAGGACAACACGTTTGGATAGTCAATAATAGACCTTACGTGGCTGAAGAAGTAGAATATTCAGCTGTGATAAGAAAACTGCTATTTCCCTGGCAATTTTGAGCTCAGTACTCCTGATTATGAATGTCTTAATGGTAAAATGAATTTCCATCTGACTCATAAAAGGTTACTAAATAAAAATACTACTCAGAATAGATTAGGGAGCACTGAGAAGCTGAAGCCTTCTTGCAGACAATATTTTAGCTGGCACTTTACCTAGCTGTATAGCATACAACATTCTATCTGCAAAATTAACAGAAAATAAAATTGGTTTGGTCTTGAAAATGAAGAACAAAAAGAACTACAAGATACACAGACACCACAGATGTAACCAGGAAAGATCTGAGGATCTGAGCAAGAACTACACTGACGTGTAGATTTCCTGACCATGTGGCATACATGTGCATGTAACTGATAATAAGAATTTTCTAGGACAGTGCATATGCTAGCAACGTTAAATTCCTTCTGATTTTGTTCAATTTAAGTACTAAAAATACAGAATAGCTGCATATATTCCTGGAAATGATCAATTCACAAAGTACACTGTATGCAAACTCCTTTGTCTTTTGGATATACATGCATACTGCTATTATTACCAAAAGCACTGGGAAGGACCTAAGGGTCCTTCTGGTGGACAAGTTGGCCAGTAATCAACAATGCGCCCTTGCCAACAGTACCCTGTAGTAGCCTGATCTACATAAAGGCAAGTGCTGCCCACAGGTCAACAAAGATGATCCATTACCTTCGCTCAGCAGAGACACATCTGGAATGTTGTGTCTGGTTCTGGGCTCTCCAGTACAACAAAGATGTGATCTTACTGAAGCAAGTGAAGAGCCATATAGATGAAGGAGCTGC